CCCTAGGCTATTCCGAATTCAGAAGCTTTGTTTGCCTATTTCTTACAAACAATGTCTCTTGCAGATGTTTTGCACTCTTAATAAATTGATGTGCTCTCATGAATTTATGAAGCCTTAAAAGCTTATGATACTTAGATACGTACCCGTACCCGATCATAGCACCTGACAAGTTGTCACCACTTAATTGGTCAACAACACTTTGAGCTGGTAGTATACATGCATCGATCTTTACTGACTTTGACTTTGACTTTGGAGCTAATCTTTCCGCTTCTCTTTGGAGGCAAATTCGGTTTCTTGCCTCGACAGACGGGCTGCACATTTTTTGATGGAGGCTTCTTAGTAGGAATTGGCAATGTTTAAGTCCAAAAATTGCTCTTAAACTGTTGAAGAGTGCGAACATTCCAAACAATTAACTGTGCTAGAAAGTTTTCCACCAAATATAGCATCCACAAATGTGCGATCTGTGTTGGTAGACTTCCAATCGTCCTGAGATGAATTATTGTGCTTTTTTTCACTCAATTCTTCATTGTTCAACCCATTGAGCAAACATCGAAGAAATTCATGACTATCATGTTGCAGAAATCCCCTAAACTGGGGAGCCTTGGAACAAACGCTACGCAGTAAAGAACTCGGATTTATCACACTACTTATACTTATATCAGCTTCTGGGCTGGTTTCAAGGAAAAGCTTTCTCAGAGCAGCAATAAGAGGACGAACAGATTCATCTAATTTAAAAAAGTGATCCCTCAATTTATTTATAGCCAACAAATTTTGTATTAGTTGAATTAAAGAAACATGGATTCCCCAAATTAACAATTAACTGAATAATTGCCACTTCCTTATGACAAAGAGTGTTCTTTTATTCCACCAGTCACAATGCCGGTCTCGAACGAAACATCCTCAACATCTGCATTGGACCCTTCAGAAGGTCGCTCCTCTAGCATTTTTGCAATTTCATGTAAGACATCATTGTGTTCGCTCGATTTTTCAGCTGGAATTAATGTATGGCAAGGAAAACACCACCGCATTTGAGGATTTTCATACTGGACAGCCAGTGGATGATGCCTTTGTTTTGCATGTCGAACTGCATGACATTGAGGCGTGGTTGGGAATCCCACACCTCCACAGGAGAAATGTCAACATTCCCCACAAACCCAATCGCTTTAGACTCCGATTTGGAATCCTCACTCCCTTCTTCCCGTGCTTAGCTTTTCCCCTACTTGCCCGTCTATCCGCCACATTAACTCGACAATCTTCACATGCAATAGGTTCTGAAGACCCAAGTTTAGAAGAAATTTACTCCAAATTAATTCCCTTGACGATATGTGAACATACTCTTCTATCATTTACAACTGGAGTTCCACTCTCAGAAATTTTAAAATTGTCAATGTTTTGTTGGGAATTGGTTTTGGAGAAGCAGAAGAACCTCGCTTCTCCTTTTGACCACTTCTTGCCTTATTAACCTTTTTCCCCATTATTGCCTAAAATCAACGGAAGAAAATAAAAAACCAAACCCTAATTTAAAAATGTAAAACCAATATAATGATCTAACAAGAGATAAAGATAAATAAACACTATAAAACCGTAAATAACTAGAAATCAATCCCAAACGATATCAAAAACCAATGCAACAGGAGTGGGGGCACTTCGAAAAATCTAGAAAGAAACTATAAATGTTAAACAAAAGAGTTTGATTTATTTCTCAAATAAAAAAAAAAAAAAATCCATTCTTGGAGATAAATGTTAGAATAATTCTATTATATGGGCTTCCATTTGATTGTGAATTTTATGGGTTAAATATAGGGAAAATTGCACAAATCGAGTGTTTAAAAATTGATTTTCAAAAACAAGGTCTAAAGTTTATTTTTTCAAAAATTAGGTAATATATGTTAAATCCCCAATTAATAACCCCAATTTTAACACACTACTCCCTTCTCTCCATCTCTCACCTCTTGTCTTCCTCCCCTCCCTCTATGAATGGCACGATAGCAGCGTCGCGACGAGTTTTTACAGCGGTGACGGCTTACTGCGCAGCGACGACGCTGTCGTTCACCTCTTTCCCTCGCCTCTCGTCTTCTTCCAAAACCTTTTGTCTCACTGTCATCTCTCTCCCCTATCACCAATCCACTTCTCTATCTAAACACGCGCAATCGTAGCTTTGTCGGGCAGAAGGAACCCGAATCGCCTCGATTTGCGAATGTGAAATAACTTGTGTTCGATACGACGCGAAGAAGCAACAGTATTTGCGAAGCAGGTCCACCCACTTCGACAACTCTTCACAGGCGCAGTACTGCGACTAGTGGTTTTTTTGTGGTGGTGATGGTTGTTTAAAGAATGATTTTCAAAAATCAGGTTTAAATTTTAATTATTCAAAAATCAGGTACTAATTTTATATTTTAATTAATATTAAACATAATATTATTAACCCTAATTTTATCAATTCCTCCTTTCCTCCCTCTCGTCTCCTCCTTTCTTCCCCTCCCCCTCGATTCTCTCCCTATGAACAGCAGCGTCGCGATACTGCCATGCGATTCTACCGTTCACAATGTCGCAACACTACTGTGAACGGCAGCGTCGCGACGGCATAGCAGCATCACGACGTTGCCGCACGACGCTGCCGTTCATAGCAGCTTCGTGACTGGTGGTGGGTGTGTGTGTGCAGTGGATGTGTGTGCAATGACGGAGTGGATTTGTGGTGATGGTGTTGAGTTGGGGTGTGATGGTGGTGTTGATGCTTGTTGTCGTGGATTCAGATCTAGTTGGCGGTGGTGGTGATAGTGTGTGGTTGGATGCGATGGTGGTGGTGGTGGTGGGTGTGTGTACTGTGGGTGCTGTGGTATTGGAGATGTGGTGGCGGCACTGTGGCATGTGATGGGTTTGTAGGTTCAGATCTGGTT